TCTACACTAGTTGTCGACATAAGTTTTACATAGCTAATGGCAAGTTCTTTTAATCTTTTTTACTAAACAAATATTACCCCGCTAGGATAGGAGATTTTAATATTTTCAATCCACACATAGTGTTTCACAATACTTCACCTTATGCTGTAAGATAATTGTTTTTTAAAGATCTTATACTCTTTTAAATTGTTTTTATATAAAAAAGTCTCTTCACATTTTAAGGCGTGTTGATTTTTTTTTTTTATAAGCATGACTCTAAATATATAGTTATTTTTTCATCGTCATCATTGTCAGTAAAAACAAACGATAGATCTTCGTTTTATTGAAATCTCGGAGAAGAGAAAATGTTAAGTGCAATACATTCTCGATGATTTTTACATTCATTTTTTCTTATATAAAACAAAAAAGGGTTAGTTAAATAAAATAAATATATAAAATTTTATTCAAAATATTTATTGTAATTAATATGATTATCGAAGAACACAAACATTAAGCCCAAATTATTTTATGTTCTTGCAATCCATCATAGAGAACTTTATCAAGGTTTTTTACGCTTCAAAGTTTTCTTGTTATATGTTTCATTACAAATTTTTTATATTCATAATGCTTTTATAATGGATGTCTGTTAGATTTTTACGCAGATCACTAATGACAGTGTCTAGAGCATTGGTACTCATTAAATGGACGACGTAGATTTGTTTAAGAACGGAGAATATCCTCAATAAACATGCTTAAATATCTCATAAGTTATGGCAAAAACAAGATAAAAAATACTTCTTTCCACGTATCCCTCGATTTTAGTTGAAAATCAATGTGAAATAATTTTTTTTTAATTAAATTGTTTACACAGAATATTAAAATACAATGTTTACAACAAAACTATATTTTGACAAATGTTTCCTCTTATTTCAGATTTAGTTGTATACCATTTGTAGGGTTGTTCAAAACCAAATCGGTCCAATAGAAAACCGCAAAACTGAAATCGCAAAAAACTGCATTTGATTCGGATGTGTTTGAATCATTTTCTAACGGAACCGCGCGATTCAGTTAGGTTTGCGGTTTGTATTTTACAAACCGAATCAAACCAAACAAAACCGCATTATGTAATAAAATCTTACGAACCAATATATATTTATTTAATTCTTTAGAGAAATCGACATGTATTATATGTATATTTTATCATACTTTGTATGATATTTATTTTAATTTACAAATTATAAAAAAATAAAATATTATTCATATAAATACTATTCTCATAAAATATATTTTATCGTATTTTTTATATAATATTTATATAAGAATACAATCTTGTCTATTGCATTCTTTAGATTTAGATAAAATTATAATACATAATTTTATGTATCAAATTATAAATTTATTTTGACAATTATAAATTTTTTTTATGGTAATGTATGAACAATTAAACATAAAATTATATTTTCCTTTATATGTGTATGTATGACTTAATAATTGTTTTTGTAAAAAACCGAACCAATTTAAACCACATTAGTTTGGTTTGGTTTGAATTTATTTTTAAAAGTCAACCGAACTAAACTGAACCGCATATTTTTTCTCTTGCGGTTTGGGTGTTTTTTTACTTCAAAACCGCTCAAACCGCACCGCGAACACCCCTAACCATTTGTTCCCCATAATACTCCATAACTTATCCAATTCCCGGTCTCTTTCTCGAACCTGGCTTTGATACCATTTGTTGGAGGGAGATACTAGAAACGTCAATCTATAGTCTAGAAATAAGCACCTTTGTGAGAGACACACCACATATCCACCTAAAACCTTAAGGTGATAGGTGAATGAGTTCTTCCACTTATATATATGCTCAAGTCTCTACATTTCTATCCAATGTGAGACTATTTCCCCACTTACTTACACTTACTATATTATTTCAACAACAACATAAACATGTAGATTGCAAGAATAGAAAAAATATTTTGTTTAAGATAGAACATTGAAGATTTTTTGTGTCTTACAATCCATCCAAAAGACTGATGTGTCAGAGTTTGGAGCAGAGCTACATATAAGTTAGTTTTATGGTAGAAATATCTTAACGGGTGGTTTTATAGTAATATCTGATTATATATTCTCTCGATTATTTAAAAAATCAAAGAATTAAATGATTTGACTTACAAATAAAATAAATAAATTGTATTTGTTAGGTGTCATAAAATTTTTTTTTACTTTCGATTTTATACAAAAACCTAGGAATAAGTTGATTTGTCAAATATAACGCCTTTTTGATTATAAATAAAACTTAATATTACAGGAGCTGAGAATCGAAACTCAAATACTGAACAATATTTTATGTCGATTTTCGACAAAATTAATGTATAAAATATCTTTTTTTTTAAAACAATAAATAATAACGCGTTTGAGATAATTTGACCTTACATTTTCAATGATTAAAATAAAAAAATTATCATAAAAAATATTATTTATAATAGTGAACCTTATAACACATCTTTTTCTTTGAAGATAAATTCAAATTTTCCAACTTATAAAATAAAAATCATATTTATTTACAAACTCATGTCCAATTAATCTCTCGTCCTCTAATATGAGACTCTCACTACATCAACTTGTAAGGCTCTGCATGTTTTCGGTACTAAGTCAACTTAAATCTTGTCAAGCTTAGCAGTCAAAATTTAATGAATTTTCTTTGTTTACAAAACGAAACAGTGTTTCTTACACCACTAGTGTATCTTAATTGGCTACTTAGTAGTTAGTACTACTATTTATAGAGAGAGAAAGTGAAAAACAATATCTATAGAGAGAGAGAGAGAGACAAGTGAGCAGGAAGTGGTCCAGCTGAGTCCATATTTCTGACCGACTCCAAGAGCAGCCGCGTTTAGATAAGTAGAGAAAGAAACATAACAAGTTAAGAATCAATATTTCTTTTTATATTATATTCTCTTCTCTCATGTAGTAAAACCCTATTTCATTTTCTTATGAGATATATTTTCTTAGCACAAGCACAAGCACAACCATCAAGTAGCTAATTAAGTGCTTTTAGTAGCACACAGCTTTTTTTGTTTGTTTATTTTGTTTTGGAAGTACTTTCCAACTTCAAACTACTTTTAGTTTTGGAATTTGCTATAGGTCTAACTAGTTTAGGACAAACAATTTTTCTTCAATTCTAAAATGATGTCCAAACAACCCTTTTCAGTTTCACCTCATTCCAACAACACCATGAGAGCTTCCTCATCAAACCATCATCAAACCCCAAACCAAAACCCTAATCCAATCTCAAATCCACCTAAGAAAAAAAGAAACCTACCTGGAACACCAGATCCAGATTCAGAAGTGATAGCTATGTCACCAAAATCCTTGATGGCAACGAACCGTTTCTTATGTGAAATCTGCAACAAGGGATTCCAAAGAGACCAGAATTTGCAGCTTCATCGACGCGGACATAATTTGCCATGGAAGCTGAAGCAAAGAGCTAACAGAGATCAAGTTCGGAAGAAGGTTTATGTGTGTCCTGAGAAGAGCTGTGTGCACCATGAGCCTTCTAGAGCTTTAGGAGATTTGACAGGAATAAAGAAACATTATAGTAGAAAACATGGTGAGAAGAAGTGGAAGTGTGAAAAGTGTAACAAGAAATATGCAGTGCAATCTGATTGGAAAGCTCATAGCAAAATTTGTGGAACCAGAGAATACAAATGTGATTGCGGCACAATTTTCTCCAGGTATATATCTGTATATTTACTATACATCTTTCACTTTCAGTATTGCAGATACCGTAAAACCATTGGAAAGAATTTACATTTCTTAATATCAGATCCAATGGTTCTACGGTTTCTGCGGTAGTCTCTATAGAGAATAGATGATTAGTTCAATCTATCTAACCATGATGATTTTAATGAAAGGAATATTTGTTTGGAATAAGTAATAAATGAGTGTTTTTAATGATGTTCAACTATAATTCATTCATATATTTATTATTTTGTGTTGACTATTGCTAACAAATCAGGAGGGACAGCTTCATAACACACAGAGCTTTTTGTGAAGTATTGACTGAACAAAGTGCAAAGATATCAATACCAACAGTTCCAAGAAATTTTCATAATGATCATTTCACAAGTATTACTCAAACTCCAAGGATCCCTCAAATTTTTCCTGGCTTTCAGTTTCACTCAGAGTTTGTTGGGTCAGGAACATCATCATCACTATGGCCAGCACTGGAGCAAACAAATTATCATCAGCAACTTCATCCTAATTCTTCTGATGTAATACAACAAACAATGAATATGTTTGGATCGCAGACACAGACGCATACACAGACACAGTGGTTGAATTATAATGGTAATAATAATAATAATAATCTATCTTTGCCGATGTTACATGGAGTAATGAAGCAAGAGGAAGAAGAAAACAAAGATTTGTCTCATAGTGTAATAAGCTCATTGTACTTGAGTGGTAATCAGAATCAAGAAAGAGGATCAGATCACATGTCAGCAGCAGCAACAACAACGTCATTGTTGGAGACAGAATCTCAAATGGGATCTGCAAGGACAGTTATTACTAATGTTAACAACAACAACAACAACAACACACTCTTCAACAATGTGAACCACTTTAGCATTGTTGACAAATTCTACAAACAAGGTCATCATCATGAAAGTGAAGACTTGAATGAGTTGGTGAATTTGGAAGGAAGTAGCAGAACCAATTTTGGAGGTGATCAGTATGCATTACATGACTCATTTGGGACTGTCAAGAATTTGGACCATGTGGTGATGTTGGTAGATAGAGAGACAAGAACAACAACAACAACAACAAATGGATATTTACATGATTCAAGTTTAATGTCAAAGGACAAAAGCCAAATGGGTTTTACAAGAGACTTTCTTGGGGTTGGAGATGATGATGAGTCAATGAATAGATCAACTTTTTTGCAGCAAGAGCTTGATGACTTTCATGGAATGGGATCATTAGGCAATAATCTGCAGAGCCAGTATCGTGGTGGTGGAGACTATTGCTAAGAAGCAAAGAAAATGTTGAGTAATCTTGTTTCGCTGTTTAGAGGGACAAGTCACTAAAGCCTAGTTTCCACCAAAAATCAAACTCAGTAGTACTAGAAGATTCGTCCTCTTTAAAAGCTTCTTTCCCATATAGCCTAAATACTTGGTTTGAGTTGTATATCGTAATCTTAAGTAGTTTGTACTCTTATTAATTGCAACACGTGAACTTAATGAGAGATTAGGAGGTAATTATTATGGTTATAAATTGCGGTTTTGATCGTAATTGTGGTTATACTGGTAACTATGATAATGTAGGTAAATGCAGATAATGCGGCTGCAATTATTGTTGCAATAATTGAGAGACTTATAAAAATTTTGTATTGCAGTTAAGATTGTGACTTGAAACTATGAGTACTATTGTCAAATTAAACTTGAGAACTAAAGTTTTGAAGTCACTTGAATTTATTGAGTTTGAATTCTCAATAGTTGTTGTAGAATTTAATTGAACCACTAACTCTCACATAAACACAGACACAGTAATATAGGACAGTAATAGTATATCATGATATTTTATTCTTATTTATCTATTATAAAAAAGTTTAAAAAATTATTATTAAAATTAATGTATTGGATTTTATATTGATAACATTGTTTGAATCTGTCAATAAATATATAGGGTGTGTTGAAAGAAATAAAGAACGATTTTTTGTTTGAAATATTAATCTGAATTATATGACATGTGTCTATGAACAAATAAATTATTATTTTAATATATCTGTATGATATTTTTGAGGTCTAAAACAAAAAATTTATATAGTTTATTTTTTAAATTACATAAATAAAATCAAAATAAAAAAATTAATACCTAGTTAAATTTGAATGATAGACCTTTTATCTAAAGAATGAGATTCTTTACCCTATTCATGGTAAAAAATCACAAAAGTTTTATCTATTTCTATTTATAAAAGAAAATTTACTTTTTAAATTTATTGAGTTATTACTATAATTAATCTATTATATAAATTACATACAATTATTTAATAAATTTAAAAACTAAGTTTCTCTTATAATATGAAGCCTCACATTTGAGATGATTTTTTTAAAAATTTTGAGAATCTAAAACCCTAGTTTTAAAAACTTTAGGATTTGATGTCAGTTATTACGTCACACACGTATTCTACTTTTTAGAAGTGTACATGATTTATAATTTAAGTTTATAATTTCTTATTAAACTAATGACATTGTTGTAACTATGACTGTGATTGTAGATTTCAATTTAAAGCTGAGAGTACTATTACCCAGTTAAATTGAGAACAAAGATTTTGAAGTGACTCGAATTTAGGTAGAGTTTAAATCCTCAATAACTACTGTAGAAGTAGAACCACTGAATTTAAGTTTATAATATTTTATTAAGCTAATAACGTTATTGAATAACTACTATTTTTGTATTTATTTAGAATAAAAGTATATGAATCATACAACTCTCCTATATATACATATTTTAACAACTAAGTGATAGCTAAGTTTAAATTTAAAAAGTGAACCACAAGATAAAATTCAGTCCAAAAAAAGAAAACACGATGGCTGAGATTGGTAGTTAGAGTATCCAAAGAGGTGGTTTCAAAAGTGACATAGTCATGCACAGTAAAAATATGGTAATTTCACGTGTAATACAAACCATAAAAAGATCTCGTGAAGAACATTGGGACCATTGCATGTTAGAAGGGACAAAAATCCTATATAGATGAGAAATGATTCCAAAAGCCACACACAGGTTGATTCTCTCACTTATGGAAGGTCCCTACCCTACACTTAGTACTATATATATTATATAGTCTTCTTTTTTTCCATGCATGTCTTGTTTCATAGAGGTTGTAGTAGAACCATTAGCTGGCCTTTTTCTATAATAACACTGATAGAGCCTTTCAACTTCGTACATACTATTTCATTACCTACCTGGTGCTGCTGCTGCTGGTGCCTCTCACCTATTGTCTTTGTTTATACTGTTGAGACCGTGAAATGATTTCAACTGTGAAATCAAATAATATATTGCTATATATAGACAGATATGCTTTCTATTTACTTTTTTAATATGTTATACTTTTTTTATTTAAAGAAAATGAGAAAGTTATGCACTAGAAGTAAAACAATTTTAATCTATTAGTAAAAATCCATAATTTCTTTTTATTTAAATACTTTTCTTATGCACTATATGTATGTACATTATACTTTCTCTTTTTTAAATAATTTATGGTAAATTCTCAGATGCCTTGAGTTTTAGTTGAGTATATATGCTATTAGTCAAAATTAATTTTAATTTATTTTAAAATAATTGTTATAATAAAATGATATGGCATTTTATGAATAGATGATGAGCAGGTGTCCAATTAAATTCTAGAGGTACCGGCGTGTTTATCCCTTATTTAAATTAAACTAAATATAACATGAGATTTCTTAAGTTAAATATTTATATTAAGTGATTTTTTAAAATAATTGTTACTCGTTTATGCAGATAATCTTTTATTATAAATATATAAATTTTAAAATATTTGTTTATTACAATTCTAACTCTCTGATTAAATAATTAAAACCATTTTTATTTCAGAGATAAATATGACTATTGACAAAATACTACAATCATATTGTTTTGACATTTAATACGGGTGATGTGGCATCTCCAAAATATTTGTTGAATTTTTTTTTTAATTTAAATTTATTCAAATTAATTTTAATTAATATTGATCTATTAATAGGTAATGTTTATTTCCAATTCAAACCATACTTACACTAGTGCGTATTGGGAATACGAAAATACTACTTTGATAGAATATTCCTAAATTGTAAATTGAATTCGTGTCTTCTCAAGTATCCAAACCCAACTTCAAAACGTAAAACAAAACCATGGCAACATTAGATATTCAACACAATTGGGGTTCACAACAAATCTTCTTCACATAAGAAGAGAAAATGTAATTGAATTTTTTTTTTAGAAGAAAAAATGTGCATGTAAAATTGATTCACGCATTTCACTTTGTCCTTTTCGTTCTCAATATTCACTCGAGCCACCCTAAACCTTGGATTCACAAACGTTTAATTTTTCAAGTACACCCTATTAATATACAACAATACATTTCAAACCCTACATTATTCACTCTTCCTAAAAACACAATCGTCTTCTTCGATGTTACCATCTGTAACATACCTGCCGGTAGAATCAAAATAGAACTCTTCGCTGATATTGTTTCTCCACAACTTCTATTGATGACGATAAATTGATGATGTTGATAATGTTGGAAATCCACCAAATATCTATGATGAATTTCTACCAATCTTGATGAACAAGATTGATATCACCACACAATGACAATGAATCATGAGAAAAAAAAAGAAAAAAAAAAGAAGACAATTATTTTCTGCAGAGTTTCTCTTTGCCTACAAAATGTGGAAAACTTTATTAATCACATGCAACTGTAAATTTTGTGATTACAATGAATTGACTTGATTGTATTAATTATAAAACTAGGGGTTACTCCCTCTATTTATGGATTTAGCTTGCTCCCTAAGCCCAAAACTATAAAAGCCCAAAATACCTATTTTGGTACTAAATCAAATCTATTCTATTTTAGACTTAAATCAAATCTATCTAAATCTAAAACAAATATAATCTGTGTGCAGCTTGCTTCGATCCACAAGCTCTTCGACTGGGCAATGGCTTCCTTCGAGCATCCGGCTTCGATCCACCTTTAGACCTTTCGACACACATATATCGATACTATGAATTACAATTTAACACACCACCTAATTCATTGTGTCTAAACTATCTATATTCATCATGGTTCTTAGTCTTCTGAATACTTTGACATGCACTCCCTTCGTCATGATGTCTGCAATCTGATTCTCAGTTCTGTAGTGTTCCAAATTCATCTTCCCATCTGTTACCTGATCTCGAAGATATTGGAACCTCATTTTGATGTGCTTACTTCAACCATGTGCTATCGGGTTCTTTGCCAGATTGATAGCTGACATGCTGTCGATCTTCATGGTAATTGCTCCATGATATTTCGATGTTATCTCTTCAACCAAGTTCACCATTCAAGTTGTTTGACACACACAAAGAGAAACAACTATGTATTCTGCTTCGCATGATGATAATGCCACTACTGGTTCCTTTCTTGAACTCCAAGCAACTGGTGCACCACCTAACATAAACACATATCCTTCTATTGATTTTTGATCTTCAGCATCACTACACCAACTCGAATCAGTGTATTCCACTAACTTGCATTCTTTTCCTTTATCAGCTACAGGAAACAAAATGCCATAGTCGAGAGTTCCTTTGAGATACCTTAGTATCCTCTTCACTACTGCTAGATGTGATACCTTTGGCTTCTGCGTGAATCTACTTACCATACATATATTATATGATAGAATTTTTTTTATTAATAACCAAGTATTAAAATAATATTTCGCAAATAACCGGGTTTCGGAAAAAATTACGCAAATAACCATGTTTGAGATGGCTCCACAAAGGAGGAGCCATCTCAAATGGCGCATGCTTCTCTTTTTTTAAGGGAGGCGCCATCTCACTTGGCGCCTAAGTGCTTAGGGCAAGCCCTAAGCCAAGTGAGATGGCGCCTATGTAGAAAATTAGGTCAAAAAAAAATTTTTTTTTTCTTTCCTGCGCGTTGCGTATTAGACAGAGATAAACACAATGGATTTTTTATTTTAAAAAAAATAATTACATTCAACTGTTTTACATTTAAAGAACAGTAAAAAAATGGATACAAAAAATACTGGGAAAAAAAAAGATACATCAGTGATCCCCAGGAACCCGGTAATGACCCCCAGTTCCGCATCCCCGTCCTCGCCTTTCTCTTGCTGGGTGCCGTCTCGTTTCCTGCTGCGGCAAGGTCGATGGCCCAGCGAAGTCAATGCGATCCGAATCCATAAAATCAGTAAGATCTCCATATCTCGAAGATCCGCTCTGGTACAGTCGGTTACCCATACCCTCGAAGTTTGGT